TAGCTCCATTCACCACAACTCTCTTAAAATACACCATGAAGAAAAGCTCATAGCACATTCAGATTGACATGTCTAGGCTGCCATAATTATCAGTTTTAAATTATAGGAAAAATATTATGTTTTGCTCCTGAGTTTGTGTCCAGTCAGAATCAGCAATAATGACAAATATGTACATTATAATCACCTTTCTGTCATTCTATTATGTCTTATTTTATCACTTGCACCTGCTCAGGGAGTATGTAACACATGAAACTTTACACAAGGTCAGCGAGGACAAAATGCAGATTTCAGGATGATTAATGATTCCTCATTTACTACCAAGGTTTACAAGCAGTGCCAATAGATGCTGAGGTGCAGCTTAAGCCTGCATGAAGCTTCATTTATTTCAGAAAGGCTTTACAGAGGTAAAGGGACATAGTTGTACAGATTACAGAACCAGGTCTCAGTGAACTTTGACAGCTCAACCCAAAAACAGTAAATGCATGAAGTAGCTCCAGTGGCAGCAGGACTCCTCTAGCAAAGCCTGCTAATGACACTGCACTGTGGGACTGATGAATGAGGCTACAGAATGCTTCGTTTACTTGAGAGTTTTAAGCAGCAACTCAGAGGCAAAAACATTTGCAAAAAAATAAACACGAGTCTTTAAAACACACTACTAAAAATATTAAACATGGTGTTGTGAAGATGCTCCATAAATACTACGGTTGTCCAGGCAGAAAAAGGAACAACAGCTAACATGAATTTGTCTAAAGTCAGCATTAAAATATTGCAGCTTATAGAGAGAAACAGTAATCCTAACATGTTTGCTTTCTGTGATCACTTCATAAGTTAACAGCTGAATAAACTATTACAAAGAAACCAATGAAAGTATCCTGTGTATTTGTATATGGACATGTTTCAGCTCCTGTAGAATGACAAACCATTGGGTAACAAAATGCCAATTGCTCCAGCACAGTAAAAAAAGGATGCTGCTGAAATATTACAAAGCCACCACTGTAGCTGGTATTGTATCACAATGTTTACCCACCTAGCTTATTTTCTCAATAATTCCTTCCTAACAGAAGATATTTATATCATGATTTACTGGAATTGCATGGCTTCCAGGGATTGCAACTGTCAAGAAACTGCTATGAAGACAGAAGTAGAAGCAAGTTTTTCATTTCCATTTGGCTGCCTCTGATCAGATGAACTTCTTTGATTGCTTCAAATGTATGAACACTAAGCACTTTAACACAAAGATTAGCTCCAAGCTCTTTTCTACCCATTGGTACTATCCAGCCTGGAGATACCTGAAAAATAACATTATCCAAAAGGGCACCAGAATAATGCATTAATTAAACCTTAAGAAACTGTTTCCTAAAGGTTTTTTCTGTTGTTGCTGTTTAATATAGCTGCTTTGGATATTTTTAACTTAGTATACCAAGAGTCAAAGATAAAAAACAAACTCTAGTAAGACAAACAATGTTCTTTGCCATTGAGCAAGCCTCAGGCAGCACCGCAACATGAAACTCCTACCAAGATCCTTAAACGTTGCTTGTAAGTACTAAAACTGTGAATCTCTCCAAGAATAACAAATAAAATTCAATTCACCCTAAGAACCAATGAGAGATGTTTCCTAGTCAGATAAGAACAATGATCCTTTGCCTATGTGTAAACAATAACATGAGTAGGCTTCTTCCAATTATCTGCAAATCTATTGAAATAACAGCATCAAGTCTCTCTTTTGTCCAGCTACAAAAAGAAAATATACAGGGATGTTTTTCATTTTATATATAGCCCAGAAACTACAACAACGCTGCATTAGTTCACTTTCCATCGAAATGGAATATCTTCCAGCAAAGACCTTGTGTTGTGCTCCTTGTAGTAGCACCATGGCTCACCCTATTAGTAGTCTGCAGGTGCTATAACAGCTTCAGTTACTTGTTTCTAATCTGCTTTCAGTCTAAGGAAGATAAGAGACACGGGGGGGGGCAGGGGGGGAAAGGCAAGCAGTAGTAAACCACACATGCAAAGGGCTGCTGTAAATGCTTATAAGCATATTTTTGGGAGTGTGTCAAGAGAGACACAAAGGTCTGCCTCACCAAGAGAGACTCTTCCTTTACCATCTGGGTGCAGACAAATCTGTAAATGCTTATAAGCATATTTTTAGAGTGTGTCTTCCTTTACCATCCGGGTGCAGACAAACGGTGTTAGGACAAGGCAGCTGCTACAGCAGCTCGGCTGGTATACTGTAATCAGGTCACCACTTGTACATCCACTATGCCAGACTTCCTTTCGGTGGCGTTACCCTACCAAAGGTAGCACCTGCTTCTCTGTTTTGACCAATTTAAAAGGGTAACACCCTCTCAACACAAATATTTGTTTTTACAGGAAACCCACACACAGGCCTGAAGCACAGCTATCAACCTATTTGCCACATTACCCTAACTAAATCTTCTGCTCTGCTCCCTTTGTGGGACTGCCAAGATCATTAGCAGGGCAGACTCAAGACATTCCTATGGGTCAGGACAGCCATTATCTGTTTAGACTTGGTGGCAGAGCAAAATGCAGGGCAATAGACAAGGCAGTATAAACAACAAGATTTATTCAGTGTACCAACCACACACTCAGCTTGGAGCCCTAGAGGAACCAAGATGCACAGGTCAAGAGGCCAGCAAAGCATCCTGCCACCGCAGAGTCATAGAATCATAGAATGGTTTGGGTTGGAAGGGACCTTAAAGATCATCTAGTTCCAACCCCCCTGCCATGGGCAGGGACACCTTCCACTAGACCAGGTTGCTCAAAGCCTCATCCAGCCTGGCCTTGAACACTTCCAGGGATGAAAGTGGTATGGAAACCAATACAGCATTTGAGTGACTCAAATGCTTTGAGAAGAAGTAAAGGTAGCAAGCAGTCCATTCACTGAAGACAAAATTAATAACTTCAAAAAAAGCAAGTCCAGAGGAGGCCACAAAAGTGACCAGAGGGCTGGGCACCTCTGCTATGGGGACAGGCTGAAAGAGTTGGGCTTGTTCAGCCTGGAGAAGAGAAGGCTCCGGGGAGACCTTATTGCAGCGTTCCAGTACCTGAAAGGGGGCTACAAGGAAGCTGGGGGGGACTTTTTACAAGGGTCTGCAGTGACAGGACAATGGGTAACAGGTTTAAATTGAAACCTGGGAGATGTAGATTAGACATCAGGAAAAAATTCTTCCCGGGGAGGGTGTTGAGGCAATGGAACAGGTTGCCCAGAGAAGCTGTGGATGCCCCATCACTGGCAGTGTTCAAGGCCAGGCTGGATGAGGCTTTGAGCCACCTGGTCTAGTGGAAGGTGTCCGTTCCCATGGCAGGGAGTTTGACTGGATGGTCTTTAAGGTCCCTCCCCACCCAAACCATTCTATGATTCTATGATAAATGACATTTTAAAACACATATGTAAGCTGAAGGTACCAGCTAGGTCATCTCTGTGTGTCAAATCATAAGAGCTATTAAACAGAGGAGGGAAGAACATTTTAAAATCAAAACCAGCAACAAGCATAAATGTTTTCTTTCAGTTAATAACCAATAAAGTGCATACGGTAGAACTGCAGAGCAGATTAATACCAACCCAAGTAACTAGGTTGAAGGAGAAAATGTCTGTGCAGTTTCACCTTTCTAAAGTACAACCATTTAAAAGTATGAGACACTGACTATGAACAAGGTAGACTATATCTCTTTGGCAGAGTATTTATTTTCCTCAATGTGTTCAAGCTACCATAGAAGAAAGACTTTCCCTGAGCTTGTAAAACATCACTACACTAAGAGCACTATTGTTACAAGCTAGACTTTGAATTTTGCCTCCTAAGACATTCCAAATATCTAATACTGAAAAATCATGTTATGGCCAAGAAAGAAAAATGCAGATTAAATACCCCATAAATATTTTAAATAATGGCCATACCCACCTGCTACATTAAGCTTTTCAACTGCTCCTACGCTGGGAGCAGGAGTGGTAGTATTGTTGGTAGAGTTTGCTCCTGTTCCATTAAGTACAAGATTTTCCACCTTGGACTCTAGCTTCCCAATGCGCTGCAATATATTATCCAACAAGACCGCAAGTGTCTTCTTCAAATCTACAAACAAAAATGAAAAGTTAAATTGCTTAATAAAGCAATGCACACTGACAAATGAAATCAAAACACGGATAGAAGAATGAGACTGGAATACAGACACTTTCTCAGTGCAAATCTTTATCATTTGCAGTTCTGTGCGCTAACGTTCCTTACCTTGTTCAATCTCAGATACGAGTTTCCCTGGACATGGAACTTATCTTCCTGTGTATTTTATAAAGCACATTGCAACTCATATACATATACTAAATTCAAGGTGAAGTGTGCACCTCTATGGGTATACACATGGGAACAGAACAATGCATGCTTTGCAACAGATTAATGAATCTAAACCTAAATTCATATTCAAGCACTGTCAGTGGAACAGTCTGTTAGATGCTCAGTCACCTGGAAACAAAAATCTCCTTCCCAAAAGAAGAGACATCGTTGAGCCAGTACAAAAAAACTCCTCCTGCATCTCCTCCACCACAACTAGGTTCTGCACTGGCAAAAAATGGTAAATTCAACCTTTCTGTTGTATACACAAAGCACCATCAATCTCTCGTTTCTCTTCTCCTAGCGACTGCCTCTACCTATCTATTCGGTCTGACACAGCACTTTCTTCATGGGAGAGGTAACAAACAGTAACAAGAGTTTGTATATCAAATTAAAACCCAGAGAGAGTTCTCTGATATTTTTTTCTTTCCCTTTACTTTTGTTCAAATTTCTTCAAGTAACACGGACAGTTAGGCAAGATAAAAGAACTGTGGGCAAGAGGGGAAAAGTAGTCAACTATCAGACTAAACTGTGTAATTACAGTGGCAACAAGCCAAAGAAGATGAAAGAAAGTACTGTTCTTTGTTCGTTTACCGTTGTCTCAGGATTAAAGAATTTGGTATGGTGAATTTACATTATTTTCCCATAATATTCCCATAAATATTTTATATTTAATTATATAAAATAATTACATGTGCATATGTATAATAAATTTTCTGCTTTTCACGGCTTTAGAATCAAAACCCTTTCTGATCTGTAATATAAAATTTCTCCATACATCTGAAGAGATTCCTCTGTCCCAGCATCAGTTGAATTTTTGCCATGCTCAGTCATTTTCCATGACTAGCCCAATTCTTGTGCGAGTGAGAATAAATAAGAAAAGGCTATTACTTTTAGAAAGCTTATGATTATTTTTTCCAAATAAAAGGAGATTACATTTATTCCATGGATCCCTAAAATAGATCTTTTTCTTTGTAACTGTGTGTTTTCCTTTGACCTTTACAGATCAGAACATGGAATCTTAAGTACTATCTTAAAAGGGGTCCAGAAGTCACTTTATGATATAGTGTGCTGTAGAAAAGGAAAGAGCAGAACAGTGATTTAACATGGACAAACTATACTGCAGAAGGAGGAAAAAAAATCTAGGAAAAATAGTAGTTAAAAAAAAAAGTTCAAGAAACAATGGGGAAAAAACACAGCATACATAAAAGGCATAAACAGAACATAAAGAGAAAAATGGCTCAACAGTGTAATATTTTAATACTGATACTAAAACACTGATACAAGAAACTGCTTACCAGAACAAGAACTCAACTGGAGGCTAGTTTGAGAAGGGGAGGGCAGAAGCACAAATTCATAAAAATTTTGGTAAAATAACTGCTATAAAAATCTAATACTCGCTCTGTATATTATGACTACAACTTTCCTTTTAGAAGTGTTTGATCTACCTACCTGACAGGTCAATATATGATAGAAAGAAAAAGTGAGAAAGTGAACAAACTGTGCAATCACAAATAAGGAATGACTGAAAACGTTTTGGGTGGGTAAAAGCAGTCAAATCAAGCAAACTTTAAACTTATTCTTGAGCATGGAAATCATGACTATGCTCACTAACACCAATCAGGGGGTAAGATTAAAATAAATAAAAAGGCTAAATAGCAAGGGCATTAATTTTCATATAACAGTGAACCAACATTTAGCCATTATCATTAACATTAGTCATTAATGTGTTTATTCCTGAACAGCTGACCTGAGCATTTGCTATCAACAAATGATTTGGTATGCCAAACAGGACAACCTAAATTACTAAGTATTCATCTTACTCAGCCTCATAAAGTATTATTTAATATGATGTTATTCACTCACCATAGCACCTTTCCCTCTAATATTTTAAATAAACACATTGCCATTATTTTGCATACTTCCAAACTCCTTAATTGAAAATACCTGTCCAAACTTGTCTTTAAACTTAAAATTCTTCTTTGCATTGGAACTTGAAATTTCTACACGAAACTTAGCTTTGTAATGTCTCTGTGAAGGTAAAACTAATTCACCCACTTTCAAATAGAGTTTAGCTTCTCCTGGAGAACTTGACCACTGTTTGGCAGCAAGTCAACTTATTCCTCAGCAGGATTTGGAACAGGAAATGAACGCCACAGGCAACAAGCTGCAGGGGGGATCCTGGCTAAAAGGATATCCTGTACTCTCAGACCTAGCTAGGGCACAGATTAATGCTCTCCATTTCTGGAGACATCTTGGTTTGGGTTTTTCTTTTCTTTCCTTCAATTCACCTCCCATCAAGCCCCCTTACAAGCTAATGGGACACTGATGATGGCTATATAGCAGACAGGGTATGTTTTAAGCCTGTGCAAACAACTCTCTAGGGACTTGGTACTTGTTTGGAGGTATTCAATCTAAATATTGATCTACTACTGCTCCATTTAGCTTGTGTTGCTTTGTAAGAACCATACCAGTATAGTTCAATATGCAGACACAAATCAGTATAAGTTCCAGAATAAGAATGGCTTGTTATTTAAGGAACAAAGCAATATAATTGTTAGCTATGTTTGGGAAAATAATCTCAGGCTTACAGGCATGTACCTTCACACAAATTCAAACATTCATTTTCTAGAGGAAAAAAGTGGTAACAGAAACAAGACAGGGAGAGAACCTCCCACCAGGATATTTTCATTACATGCACCAAAAAGTAGAGAATATTAAGAGAAAACTACAGAAAAAGGTGCCGCTATTATCTGCTGCATCCTAGTCTTTAATCTTTGTGTAAGTCTACAAAAGACATCTGTCCAATTTCTTCAGATCTGATTATTAAGGCAACTACAAAAGAAAACAAATACAGATGACTAGTTAGCCATTAACTTTCCAGACAGCCTGACAGTACATATGTAAGTAGGAAAGAAAGCAAGTTTAAAGAAGTACTAAACAAGTGGGGTATTTGATGTGATCTTATCAGACTGAAAAGGGGACACACATCTAACCTGAAATTGGATTATATTTTTATTTTCATAGTATTTTCCAGCAATATGCTTCATCCTTTTCTGCATGCTTTCTCTCACACATGCACACAAACGTAACGAACAAAATGGAAGAGAGGAAGCATTAACACTTAGTGCTGAGCAAAGCACTGAAGCTCACAAAAAGAGTTCTCTACCCCGAGGCAAATCGGGTATATTTAAGCTTCATATAAATTTATGCCAGATACATAAACATCAAAGTAAACTGACTGAAGAAGAAGTGAAATGGGAAAGAAGAAATAAACATAGCAGTTCTCCACTTTATAAGTAATGCAAGTTCCTGCTCCACAACAAATTTCCTAGATCACTGACACAAACTGAAAAGCCTCCCAAGTTTCTCAAGAACAGCATGAAAAACGTTTTTAAATGAAGTTCTAACAAATAACCTGAGGCATACCAGATATAACTAGACAGATGTAGTAAAAATTAGCAGACAACTTAATTTCAAAGTGACTGGAAATGTAAAATTTGTCCCATTTCATACCTACACATCAAGACTGCTTTCTCCATCTGTGCAGAAAATCCACAGTGCAAAGTACAGTCAGTTGAGCGGCATTATGAAGTAAAATGTTTGGATAACTTAGAAAAAAACTTAATCAGATCATCACATAATTGAGAGCACGCACTTACCGTATGCTGTCACTGTCCCAACATAAGGCCCATCAACCACATTCTTATTTTCTTCAGCTAATGCTTTGATGTATCTTTTGCTGAGATCCAAAATTTGCTCACGCAGGACTGAACTGCTTTCGTGTTGTGTTTGCTGCTGAATAGTAAAATGCAGGAGCATCATTCCCCAAATGAAACCAAAAGTCACCAGAAAAAAGCCAAGTTTCTGAGAGGACAGCTTCCATGGAGAGAATGCCATGATTCCCACCAGCTTCACACAGTTACTACGAAGGTTCCTAAAGCATGAAGTCAAACAGCAAGTCCATGGTCCAGGTATATAAATATCACAGAGCAGGACTCAGTCTTATTCCAACTCCTTGGTCAACATATATCCGTATTTCAGTTCCATCCTGTTACAAGAGGAAAGAAAAGAAGCATAGTTACCACAACATGTCAGAAGTTTTTACTAGCTATTCTAGGTCTTCACTCTCATGGGTACAAAATAGGAGTAGACAATATGCTTTCTTTGTAAATATTTCATTTGTATGTATCAACATTGTACTGTACTAGCCAGAGCACAAAGGAGCTGAGAAAAGTGCTGGAAAGAGAACAAAGAGGGAGCGATGTGCCTGAGCAGGTGTAGAACACCTCTCAGTATCTGGATCCAATTCAATGTTTGAGGCAGTTTCCCAAGCTGAATTTCAAGCTTTTACATATTATTTGTGTGTTTGTGTGTCTCTGTGTGTGTGTACAAAACTTTGTGAAGTTGCCAGTGCAGCAATTTAAGACAATCCTCGACATAATTCAGTTCTCAGAAAACAAGTAATTTTAGCTGGCAGTGACACTGCTCAGAGTTCCTGGCAAGAGCTACGGCATATGGCTAGATAGGTGATCAGGAAATCAGACTCCCTCAGGGGTGCAGAGCAAAAAAGAAATCTACATTATTTAAGCCAATACACTCTCCTGGCTTACACTGCAAGCAGTCAGAAGGCTGGAATAATCTCTTGCTCCTGTGTGGCCTCTGACTGCATAGTTACTCCTTATTCTAAGACATAGTCCAGTGAGTTTGCTCTTTGCAACTAAAGACACATACCTTCTGAATGTTACATGTCTTTTGTATGTAAATGGATATTCACGGAGCTTTTCACATGTTAGGGAAAAAGAATTGTAAGAATGGCTTTCAAGACACAGTAGGACCAACTTTTCATGGTAAACTCAAAGATAAAACCTGGTATAAACAATCCAAAGGCAAGAAAATTTCTGTGATGAGGAGCTAAAGGCAGGGTCCTGAGCATAAAACCCAATGAGAAGAAAGGTAATTAAAAGGTAATTAAGTGCAACCTATCATGTTAAAACACAGATTTCGTAAAATGTTATCCTTTTAGCTTCATAATGCTCCCAGACAGGATTAGAGAACATAATGTTCCCTTCCATTCTGCACTTGCACAGATAATGCAGATGCTGCTCTGTTTTAATAGGATAATTACACAGATGCCTGCTAGCAGTGCTCTCTGTTTGTTAAAATTCCCTTTAGATCCGCTGCTTTCAGTTGAACCAGCACTTCTGCGGAGGGACAGAAATACCTTTGGACCACTTATCTTCCAACATGCCTTGTGAGTGCGTTTAGCATTATTGATTACTATTGACTGTCGAAGTGAATGTGCATCACATAGCAAAGGAAAAGCAGACAAGGCAGAGAGCGACCCTGCATTTACCCTGTGAAAAGAACAATCTGTTGGAATGGTGCTGAAAAATTAATTTCAAGTACAGTGAAAAAGATCACAAAGCCCCCAAGCTTACTTTTTCCACACTTAAAAATATCTCAATGAAGAAAATGAATGGTCTCAACAAAGAAAATTAAAGACTCCGTTTAACGCTGTCCTCCATAAACTTAATTTTCCAAGAAATGGCAGAGGGTAGTTTCACTTCTTTCAGTTTATTTAACTATAGCCTTGGGACACTCTTGGGCTGACTAAAAGGTAGAGTATTGCTATTTCATTAAAACCAGAATTCTATTCTGGTTTTAATACTATTCTCTTGCAATATCTGGTGTGATAAAATACAGAAAATCCTACAGTTTAAAACAACATCACAACTTTGAAAAGAAATCTGAAATATTCAAGATTAACTCTGTCAGTGACTTAATTTCAAGTAAGAACTGACAGTGTCCTCTACAGCAGTAAGATCTGTGGTTATAACAGTCCACATTTCTTCCCCAGTTACCAGTTGTTTGTGAAGTGGAAAACACTGAATAAGAAAGTAAAACTATCACCACCATATTTTAACAGACAAGTGCTAATGGTTTCTTATGACTAGCTGTTTAGGAAAAATACCCACAGAACTTTATCATCACTAAAAAAGTAAGAGTTTTACAGTCATGTTTTAAAAATTCTAGAACAGAAACAAGGATGGTTACAAAAAACTGTATGTCTGACCTATGAGAATGATCTACTTAAATACCGCTATTGACTTTACCCTGTTTATCAACAGAAAATAAAGCCTTAAGTTCACTCAAGAACTGTAAAAAGGTAGACAGCAAATTTCAAATTTTTGCCATAAGAAAGGATTAAAATTCATTAACAGCTGGAAGAACAGCCCCCATTATTTCAAGTGCTAAAACCAAACCAGACCAACAAACCCCAAAACCCCAAACACCACAAACTAGCCCTATTTTTACTGCCATTTAAGCAATTCCAGTGGCCAGCAACTTGATGAATGTCCTACAACATGTACTTAACTAATTAACTTAACAGCACTGCTGGTGGGCATGGAGGTTTGTAAAGTACCGAGGAGAAGAATCTCTGCGCTTCCCACCACTTCCATGGCCGGACGCATGCCCGCACTGACTTCAGTATATGTTTAATCCTAGATTTGTCAGATAATCAAGGACTGCAACACAACTATTCCACGGTTAATGATTACTACATACTTATAATGAGTCATTATTTGGTATCTAAATGGACAGTGGCCAGAAGATATCAAGGGCTTATGCAAAATGGATGAAGACAGCAGCACAGGAATACCTCTGTAGTATTTCTGTTTTGACACAAATTTAATAACTGACGTGAACAACAGTTGACGCAATAAACGCCCATGACTCTAATCACTTATGGACTTTGATAGTGCCCGATGACTAGTTAGCTCCCTGCCCATACCAAGCAAGCCATTCCCAAACTTACAGTAGTAGAATATTTCCCTTACTCTCCCCTCTTGCCTTACAAATGTTCTCATTGGAACTGATTCTGTTAACTATTAAGGCCTTTTCCTAGTGTAGTTCCCAAAATGCACATTGTAAGTCGTATCTAAAGAGGATATGGAATATGGCATATTCATAAGTGCCTCCAAAGAATGACAGGCTGCTTTTTTTTTTTTTTTTTAAAAAAAAAAAAGCGCTTTGGAAAGAGGTGATCGTGCTCTAAGACAACTCTTGAAATAATTCCAGCACCCTCTGGAAACTGGAGATGTGAAAGTCTAAGCCGTTTGTGAAAGAGCTAGGAAGATAATTCCTCCTATTTACTGACAGTAGCTAACGTACCAAAACTAAAAGCCAAGTGTGAAAAACAGGGTGAAAGTGAAAAGATATACAAGGCAAGAAAACCTTTAATAAAGAACAGCTTTGTTACGTTCTTCCTTGATTCAACCAGCCAAAAATCTCACCTTAGCAGAACCAGCACACTGGCGTTTTGTTTATTTTTTAACAGAGTAGTTACACCCTTTGCAACAAACATACCACATTTTAAAACAGAACTGCCTCTACTCTTACCAAAGGTGATTAGCATATTTCTTTGGAAAATGGCTAACCTTATACTTATTGAAGGGGGTGTAAGACTTTCGATAGTCTTAGTACTTTTAGTATGTCAAACAGCTTCATTAAAACATGTTTTCCATTCTATGTTTAACAAAATCCTGCTCAACAGCTGGTCAATTCATTAATTACAGAGAATAACATTACAATGCCTATGTCATCACCAGAAAAAAAAAACCCTCACACTACTTAAAGTCAGGAAAGTATCCCAATGCTAAAGTAATCCATACATCAGGGATGCAAACCACAGACTTCTCAGCATTTGAAGGCTTTATTCTTTCTTTCTTTTTCTTTTTTAATGCTTACAACAGAATACAAACAGTTAATCTTATGAGAGCAGATTTTGTCACTTTTTAAAAAAGAGAATTAATCATCTACAAGAGACTAAGCAAAATCTCTTTATAAGTATGTACATATACAAAGCTTGATGGTCTCTGTCCAACCTGTACTTATACAAGAAATGGTATGTATTCAGGGTAACCTTGGAATTGCATTATCCTCAGGAGAGTCAGAATTCAACCGTTCATCACTAGCTCCAGTTACAAAACCTT